CAGGTGGGCTGTTAAGTCTCCAATGTGAGCTTTCTCTGTTTTCTTTAAGTGGGCACTTAGTGCTATGAACTTTCCTCTTAGGACTGCTTTCATAGTGTCCCATAAGTTTGAGTATGTTGTTTCTTTATTTTCATTGAATTCCAGGAAGACTTTAATTTCTTTCTTTATTTCTTCCTTAATCCAGGTATGGTTCAATAGTTGACTGTTCAGTTTCCATGACTTTGTATGCTTTCTGGGGGTAGCATTATTGTTGAATTCTAACTTTAATCCATGGTGATCTGATAAGACACAGGTGGTTACTAATATTTTTTTGTAACTGTGGATGTTTGCTTTGTTACCGACTATGTGGTCGATTTTCGAGAAGGTTCCATGAGCTGCAGAGAAGAAGGTATATTCTTTCCTATTTGGATGGAATGTTCTATAGATGTCTGTTAAGTCCATTTGATTCATTACCTCCATTAATTCTCTTATTTCTCTGTTAGGTTTCTGTCTGATTGACCTGTCCATTGGTGAGAGAGGAGTGTTGAAGTCTCCTACTATTAGTGTGTGCGGTTTGATGGCTGCCTTGAATTTTAGCAATGTTTCTTTTATGTACGTGGGTGCTTTTATATTAGGGGCATAGATGTTCAGGATTGAGACTTCATCCTGATGAACTGTTCCTGTTATGAGTATAAAATGCCCCTCTCCATCTCTTCTGATTGATTTAAGTTTAAAGTCAACTTTGTTAGAGATTAGTATGGCCACACCTGCCTGTTTCTTAGGTCCATTTGCTTGATAGGCCTTTTCCCAGCCCTTTACTCTGAGTAGGTGCCTGTCTTTGTGGTTGAGGTGTGTTTCTTGTAAACAGCAGAATGTTGGATCCTGTTTTCTTATCCAATCTCTTAGCCTGTGCCTTTTTATAGGTGAGTTGAGTCCATTGACATTAAGTGATATTAATGACCAGTGGTTGTTAACTCCGGTCATTTTTTTTTTTTAGTCGTAGAGTTTGTGTGTTTCCCTTCTTTGTTTTGTGTTGGTGAAGGGTCTCTAGATGTCTGAGTTATTGTGGTCATTGTTGGACTCCTTGGTTAGTGATTTTCCTTCAATTACTTTCTGTAAGGCTGGATTTGTGGCTGCATATTGTTTAAATTTGTTTTTATCCTGGAAAATTTTATTTTCTCCATTTATAGTGAATGAAAGCTTGGCTGGGTATAGTAATCTGGGCTTGCACCCATGGTCTCTCAGTTTCTGCAGTACATCTATCCAGGACCTTCTGGCTTTCATGGTTTCCATGGAGAAGTCAGGTGTAAGTCTGATAGGTTTACCTTTATAAGTAATTTGGCCTTTTTCCTTTGCAGCTCTTAATATTCTTTCCTTATTCTGTATGCTTTGTGTTTTGATAATTATATGGCGAGGGGATGTTTTTTTTTTGATCCAGCCTATTCGGTGTTCTGTATGCTTCTTGCACCTTCATAGGAAAGTCTTTCCTTAGGTTGGGAAAGTTTTCTTCTATAATTTTATTAAATATATTTTCTGGACCATTGAGCTGCCCTTCTTCTCCTTCTTCTACTCCTATTATTCTTAGGTTTGGTCTTTTTATTGTGTCCCATATTTCCTGAATGTTTTGTGATGAGAGTTTGTTGGACTTGCTGTTTTCTTTGATCAGTGTGTTTATTTTCTCTATGGTATCTTCAGAATCTGAGAGTCTTTCTTCTATCTCTTGTATTCTGCTGGTTATGCTTGTTTCTGTAGTCTCTATTCATTTACCTAGATTTTCCATGTCCAGCCGGCCCTCTGTTTGTGTTTTCTTCTTTGCCTCCATTTCAGTTTTCAGGTCTTGAACTGTTTCCATTATCTGTTTGATTGTTTTTCCTTGGTTTTCTAGGGTATCATTCACTGATTTATTCAATTCTTCAAACTTTCTGTTATATTTCTCATCCATTTCTATAAGGGCATTTTTTACATGCTGTTTAAGGGTGTCAATCACTTTCATGAAGTCAATCTTTTCTCCTTCCTCTTGATTAAGGGGTTCTTGTCCTCCCGTTGTGAGGTCGCTTGTTTCTGGTAGCTTCATGTTGCTTTTCAGCTTGTTGGGCGAATTCTTGCCTTGACGTCGGCCCATCTCTTCTTCCAAATGCTCCCTATGGATCTTCTTTTACCGGATTAGGTCTCCTTGCCTACCAAACGCTGTCTCTCCCCAATGTTGGCTCTCCCAATGCTGGGTCTCCGTGCTGGTTGGGCAGCTCGCAGACAAAGCGCCTACCCCGCTTGGTGCAGGCAGGCCACAGAAACAAAGGAACTGCTGCCCGCCCGGGAGCCCCGGGTACTCGGACCCAGCGCCCAGATAGGCTGGGCTGGGCGATGCCACGCGCCAAAAGAGGGCAGTGGGGGCGAAGTGGGGAGGGCTCTGGACGGAAGCTGAGTGGGCCAGGAAGAAAGAGGCAGCACCCGGGGAGTAGAGGCCTTGCAGAGAGCTCAAGAAGGACAGGGGGCCAAGAAACCCCCGAGCTCCCCGTCCCAGGCTGGCGCCGTGGGCCAGAAACTCACCCCAATGCTGGGTCTCCTGGCGCCGAAAGATCAGGCCTCCGTGCTGGTTGGGCAGCTCGCAAACAAAGCGCCGACCCCGCTTGGTGCAGGCAGGCCCCAGAAACAAAGGAACTGCTGCCCGCCCGGGAGCCCCGGGTACTCGGACCCAGCGCCCAGATAGGCTGGGCTGGGCGATGCCACGCGCCAAAAGAGGGCAGTGGGGGCGAAGTGGGGAGGGCTCTGGACAGAAGCTGGGTGGGCCAGGAAGCCATCTATAGGTTCTTAAATAATGGGATGCAGGGCTTGATCCCTCCACTTTCCCATGAGTCTTCTCTTCCCACCCCTGCTGTTCTGAGAGCATTCCATTAAAACAATCAAGAGCATAGATAAGGTAAATACTGCTCATCAGCAGGGGCTTAGCTAGCTAGCATCTCGAAGCCAGTCCCTGGGGTCAGCTTGACCCTGTGTTTTAGAGGAAGAGTCTGGAAAATCAGAAATGCCCACATGCTGTCCTTGAAGACTGTGATATAAACCAGGATGTTGGGTTACTCTGAGATACAGCCAGGGTATTGACTGAGCAGAGGATGCTGGGCTACTCTGTGATACAGCCAGGGTGTAGACCTGAGCAGCCTTCCTATCTGTGGAAACCCAGATCTTACACTTATATAGCAAGGTTTGTTTGTTTGTTTTGGTTTTTTTTTTTGGTTTATTTATTTATTAAAGATTTCTGTCTCTTCCCCGCCACCGCCTCCCATTTCCCTCCCCCTCCCCCAATTAGGTCCCACCCACTCAGCCCAAAAAGCAATCAGGGTTCCCTGTCCTGTGGGAAGTCCAAGGAACCCCCACCTCCATCCAGGTCTAGTAAGGTGAGCATCCAAACTGCCTAGGCTACCACAAAGCCAGTGCGTGCAGTAGGATCAAAAACCCATTGCCAAGACTATACTTTCAGGGATCATTTCTATAGTTTGTTTTGGTTTTTTGAAATAGGGTTTCTATGTGTAGCCCTAACTGTCCTGGAACTCTGTAGACCAGGCTGATCTTGAACTCACAGAGATCTGTCTACCTCTGCTTCCTGAGTGCTGAGATTAAAGGCATGTGCTACCACTGCCAGGCTTAGACAATAAATTTTATCCCTATCCTGTATCTAGATCAGTTGCCCAGATGACAGGGAATTTTGCTAAATGCAGCAGCAGCAGCAGAAGGTGAGAATTCAGCCCTTTGCAGCTGGGCTTCAGGGAGCAGTAGGAGTCCAGGGAGGTGGAGAGGCTTCCAGAGAAATGATGTAATGCGAGATTGACCCACACCAGAGAAGCCCTCCTTCCTGTCTCTCAGCACTTGGCTCTATTGACTGAACATGGCCCACACCAGAGACCCCCTCCTTCGTGTCCCTCAGCACTTGGCTCTATTGAGTATCTGCTTAGGGAGTTTTCAGCTGTGCAGTGGACAGATGATACATTTGTGAATGTACACAGCTCATCTTTTTTTTTATCAAATTTTTTCATTTATTTTACATATCAACCACACTTTCCCCTCCCTCCTCTCTTCCCATTCCCTCCCCCTACCTCCCATCTATCCCCCACACCCCCTCCTCCTCTGTTCAGAAAGGGGCAGGCCTCCTATGGTAGTCAAGAAAGGATGGCCCCCCAAGAGAGACATGCATGGATCTGATCTACATGGAAAGTAGTAAAAGACAAGATCTCCTGAGTAAACTGGGAGCATAGGGACCATGGGAGAGGGTTGAAGGGGAGGGGAGAGGCAGGGAGGGGAGCAGAGAAAAATGTAGAGTTCAATAAAATCAATAAAAAAAGAAAGCATGACATATCACATTGAGGAAGGACCAAGCTCCCCCCCCCCCCCCGGCCCCCCCTCCCATCAAGGCTGGGCAAGGCATCCAGCGTGAGGACTAAGTCCCCAAAAGCCAGTTTAAGCAGGGACTTAATCAGGGACAGGTCCTGATCCTATTGCTAGGGGCCCCACAAACAGCCCAAGCTATACAACTGTCACCCTCGTTCAGAGGGCCTAGGTAAGTCCCATGCCGACTCCCTAGCTGTCGGTTCAGAGTTCATGTGCTCCCACTAGTTCAGGTCAACTGTCTCTGTGGGTTTCCTGTCATGATCTTGACCCCAGCCCCTGACTGTAAAATTCTTCCTTCCTCTCTTCAAGTGGACTCCCAGAGCTCGGCCCAGTGCTTGGCTACACAGCTCATCTTATGACAAAAATATCCTTAGCTCACATTCAACAGCTCGCTTTAGGTTGCAACCTATTTGTAGCTTGGAACTTGCTTTGTTTAGCTTTCAAATAATCGTTGTAAGATAATGAGCATTATAATAGGCCAGCCAGGGTCAGGGAAGGTGACAGGTGAAGGAGGGAATGAGACCCTTCTTGTCCTAAGCAGGAGCCCTCCTGCCCACAGGAAATGTGTATTTTTAATGCATTTTGTGTGCTCGAGAAAGTGTTCTTGCTTGCTTTGCTGAACTTTATGTTTTGTTTTCCAGTGTGGCTCTCCTGGCAGTGGCGTCTCATCCCACAGGTAAGCACTCTGTTGCTCGCTTACAGTCCCTGTCCACTCAGGGCTCGGAGCCTGCTGTCTCTGAAGACTGTGTGACAGATATGAGGTTGTGAATGCTCCATAGGTGGGGGCAGAGTGACTCAACGGTGGAGTACTTCTCTAGCACATTTAGGGCCCTGGGTCCATCACTGCAAAACAGGAAGAGGATTTATTGCCCATGAGTTTATTCTTATCCCTATTTTTTTTTAAAAAAAAGTTTTACCTTATATTTTGAACTTTGAAAATTTTAATTAGCCTACAAAGTAGTAGGTTCTGTTATGACACATACAAAGATATTACTGTCCTTTACTAATGACCGTACCCTGCTACTGTCCCTTGTCCTCCCTGGGCCACTTCCACTGTCTCTTCTTCCCCAAATAGTCTACTTCCTTCATGCTTTCATGTCATGTGTGTGGGTTTATATGCTTGAAGCCTGGAATCCGCATGTGAGAAAAAAATGTGATACAATGATCTCTAGTTCTGTCCATTTCACATAATATTTTCCTTTATGGCTGAATAAAATGTGTGTGTGTGTGTGTGTGTGTGTGTGTGAGGGGGAGGGAAGAAGAGAGAGAGAGGGAGGGAGAGAGGGAGAGGGAGAGAGAGGAAGAGAGGGAGGGAGAGAGAAAGAGAGAGAGGGAGAGAGGAACTGGGTGAGAGGGAAATAGAGGGAGAGAAGGAGAGAGGGGGAGGGAGACTGAGGGAGGGGGAGAGAGAGAGGGAGGGGGATGGAGGGAGAGGGAGGGAGTGCAGTACAGACAGAGCTGTCACTTGTTTTTTTTTTTTTTTTTTTGGTTTTTCGAGACAGGGTTTCTTTTTTTTTTTTTGCACTCTTCTGAGATCTCTTCCCTGGCTACCCAAAGCTGTTCTTCTGTGCTAGTTTTAAAGTATTTGGCGAAACAGTTCAAATTCATTCTATTTCTAGTTAGTATCATTTAAAATGTACCTTTATTTTTTTGTGTGTGTATGTTTGTGTCTAGTGTGTGTGCACCTGGTGTGTGTGTGTATTTGTGTCTACGTATATGTGTGTGTGCGCCTGCGTGTGTGTGTTTGTGTCTATGTGTCTGTGTGTGTGTTTGTGTCTAGTGTGTGTGTGAGCACCTGCGTGTGTGTGTTTGTGTCTATGTATATGTGTGTGTGTGTACACCTGTGTGTCTGTGTTTGTGTCTATGTATATGTGTGTGCACTGCGTGTGTGTGCATTTGTGTATTTTTCACTGTGTGTTGCAGCCAGAGAGCACACTCAGCAGCAGGTGGTTCTCAACATGTAGCTTCTGAGGACCGGATTCAGCTAATCAGACTTGGTTGCCAGTGTAGAGTCCCGCCTGCTCTCCCTGCCAGCACCATTTTAATACAATTTCTTGTCATAGTTGCCCACCCGATCTTTTTAATGCTGGAGTAAAGAGTTGGTTCTCAAATTATCTTTATGTTGTTGTTGCCTCGGCTGCTCTGAGGTTGTTTCTCAGGTTTAGGAATTTCCCCAAATGCTCTGCTCTGTCACGCAGTTTGTTTTTTCCGTGGACGGTTTTGAAGTACTATTAGCTGTTTTCTATTGCTAGTAACACAAAACCACAGACTGGGTAAATTATCTTTTAAAAAAATATCTATTTATTATGTATACAGTGTTTTGCCTGCATATATGCCTGCAGGCCAGAAGTCACCAGATCTCATTACAGATGGTTGTGAGCCACCATGTAGATGCTGGGAACTGAACTCAGGACCTCTGGAAGAGCAGCCAGTGCTCTTAACCTCTGAGCCATCTCTCTAACCCCCAAGGGTAAATTATCTTGTAAAAAGAGGTATATTTTAGTTCCAGTTCTGGTCCAGGCAGGTCACAGGGTCACTTGTTTCTTGTTGGGTCACTGGGGTTTCTAGGGTGAGGGCAGGCCAACCATCCATGGACTAATTAAGAAGGTAGGTAAGAGGCCAGGCCCAGGAAGAGGATGGAATTGGTGCAGCCAGGTTGGGAAGAGAAATAAGTAAAGAGGCTCAGTGAGCCTCCACACCCACATAAGATAAGAATTCTATTAAAATGATGTTACTTTAGAATGCTTTCATTTCAACCGGTAGTGAGGGTGCATATCTTTAATCCCAGCACCCAGGGACAGAGGCAGGTGGATCTCTATGAGTTAGAGGCCAGCCTGCTCTATAAATTGATTTCTAGGACAGCCAGAAAAAACCCTGTCTCGAAAAATTTTTTTTAAAGAAAGGAAACAAACAAACACTAACTAAGTCAGGCAGTGTTAAATTGTTGGGGGGCAGTGCCCTCATCTCGTTACCCCATTTCACCATAGCTCGTCTCTCAGAGACCCCACTTCTCATCACTTTTTAAAAAAATCCTCCTTTTACTGCACAAGGTAGGTTATTCTTGAGCATGAGTTTTAGAGGGACTTGCTTCTGGCCATCACAGCAGATGGTGTTCTATCACAGCAATGGCACCGCTACCTAGGACCCTGCTGAATGCCCTCACCATTATCACGTGTTGAAAGCCCCGCGTATCCCACAGAACTGTCAGTACTAAGTGCTTTTCTCATCTGTCTTCTCAGCCACCTCTTTTCAGGCTTTGGGCCTTACAGATGTTTAAGGTGCCTCTTGCCTTTCAGATGGAAAGTTCCACTCACAGGATCTCCCAGCCTCCCTGTTCTTTTATCCCTGAGTTAGTCTCGGTAGATTTGTGTTTATTTTTTTCCAATCCATCGAGATCTGCTTGTCCTTCAGCTAAGAGATTATGCTTTTTTTTTCTTTTTCTTCTTTTCTTTTGATTTTTTTTTTTTTGAGACAAGATTTTTCTGTGCAGCCTTGGCTGTCCTGAAACTCACTCTGTAGACCAGACTGGTCTCCAGTTCAGAGATCCACCTGCCTCTGCCTCCGAGAGTGCTAGAATTAAAGGCGTGCAACGCTACCACCTGGTGAGATTATGCTTTAAATATGTCACACAATCATCAGAGCTGGGAGAGATTTCAACAATAATCCCTAGTGCTACCCAAATCTGCAAGTAAGGGAGCGGAAGCTCAGAGGAGTTGAGTGCTGTGACCAAGATGAGGCCAAGCAGGTGTGTAGGAGGGGACCTGGAGCTGAGGGCACCTGACCTTGTGGTCATGACCACGATGAGGCCCAGCAGGTGTGTAGGAGGGGACCGGAGCTGAGGGCATCTGCCGTCGTGATCCTGTTCTTAATTTCTGCTTTCCTGGGGTCCCTGTATGTTATTATGAAATGTCCTGAGCAAGTGAATACATTTCTAGGACACTTGGGCCTCGCTTCCTGCAGCTGCTTTAGTTTTCAAACATAGATGCTGGTGATAGTTCATCTGTCCTGGCCACCGATCCAGCCTTTTACCTCGAGTTACTGCTAAGTTTTCAGGTCAATATAAAAATGCCTTGGATGGACTGCTACTGTCTGGGTCAGCTGTCTGAGTTTAGAGTGGTTTGCACAGAGAATTATCTTCAGTGATCATCAGTCTCTCTTTTCAGGGTGTGCAAATGCTCTATGATTACACAGTAGTGATGGCTACAGAGCTGTGGCTACGCGGAACCCTGGAAAGTGTACATTTTCAAAGGGTGAATTTTATAGTATGAATTCTGTCTCAATCAGAAGGTATGTCAGAGACAAAAAGAAAAGTCTTAATTTGAGAACTAATTTGGAGTGTGGTCACACTGGAAGAGGAATAATTTTCCTTCAGATTTTGTTTGTCAGGGCTTGGAGGTGCAGAACTCGCTTAGCACCTGTAAACTTTGGGGTTCAATCCCTAGAACGAGAGAGAGAGAGAGAAAGAGAGAGAGAGAGAGAGAGAGAGAGAGAGAGAACCAACACCCCTGCCCCTGAGGTTTGCTTTCCATTTGCTCTTCAGACTTTAAACCATTGCATGGTAAATGAGGGTTGGTCTAGATTAGTATCACTGAGTTATAGAGACCAGTGTGACACATGTAAGCTCATCATATAGAAGGAGTCCATCTGTGACTTCATACTAACCAAAGTAGTGTCATTAAAGAGGCTGAGTATAGGAAATTTAAATCATGAGAAGGATTTTTGCAGAGCTAAAATTGGCTGTGTCTCTTATGTCAACAGCAAGGATAACCTCGACTTCCCTTGCTATAAATACCTGAAACTTCTAGGAAATGAATGCCCCGAAATTTCCAAAGTCCTGGATGCCTAGTGTCATAGGAGGGTCCTGCAAACCCCCTGGCAAAGGTAGATGCGGGATGGTGAGTAAATGCCGGCAGCATTCAGAAGCTAGATCCTTCTCTGTGTACTAGTAGCAAGTTCACGATCTAATTCTTGGGACACTGTAAACCACACTGCCTTCCTCACATGTTGATTGAGTAATATAAAGGTGTCTTCTTTTTGTATGTATGTATGTATGTATGCATGTATGTGTGCATATGTATGCATGCTAATGTGTGTGCAGATGTGCACATGTGTGAGTATGTGGATGTCTGACAGGCCAACTTTGGATGCCATTTCTCAGGACATCATCCATGTTGTTCCTTTGAGACAGGATCTCTCACTTTTATCTGGGGCTCACTGATTCCTAGGACTACAGACACATGCCACCATGCCCTTTTTTTTTTTTTAAGATGGGTACTTGTGTGGCAAGCACCTTACTGACTGAGCCATCTTCTTAGCTACACACTTTATTCTTTCTATAAAAGTGCTCTGACCAGCTGGGTGGTGGTGGTGCATGCCTTTAATTCTAGTGCTTAGGAGACAGAGGCAGGAGGATCTCTGAGCTTCAGGCCAGGCTGGTCTGCAGAACAGTCAGGGTTACACAAAGAAACCCTGTCTCAAAAAACTTAAAAAGGGGGGGGGGGTGTCTCTGTGTGTGCTAATCAATATCAATATCATGTTTGCTATTTTTTTTTTGGAACTTTTTCAAATTGTGTATCAAGGTGCCTTAAGAATGAATGTGTTTGCTTCTCCTTTCTCCTATCTGGGGAGTTCCATAGCCTTCAAACCTTACCAGCGATGATGGTTTGCCTTGATCAC